CCACACCGACACAAGAAACAGCACACCCTGTTCCACTTTTTGCAAATTAACACAGCCTGCTCCTTTATAACCAGCTGTCAGAATCTGTCACCAATTAATTTCTTGCCTTTACAGCTTCAGAGGTAAAGGCAGAAATTACAGATGATCTCTTCTACTGGGACTCTAGCAAAAGAAATTTTTTTCTGATAGGAAATAATCTTGCAGGTTTCTGTCTCTACAGGTGAAAGATCAGTACAGTCAAGATATCTGTAAGCATCAAAATTTGCTGCAGTAGTATCCTAATAAGACTGTCAAGGTTGAAAGCCAATGCCAAGCTTTTATTCATTTTTGTAGTCCAGATGTAGGTTAAAATTAAAGGCCTGTTCCCACTTTGGTGTTGAGTAGATCTCAAGTTTTCCTTTTAATCTGACAGCTTTAAAATTGAACTAAGTGACCTGCCAGGGCTGCATATGGATAGACTGACATGGTGATACATATTAAGGAGAGTAGTATTAACACTTGAACTTAAATGCAGCAGGGATATAGCACCTTGAGTTCTAATTTGTACAATCACTGTACAGTGAACGCATCACCAGACAGTGGGATCCTGTTCCCTCAAGTAGGCATAGCTTCAACAGAGTAAGTATTATGTACAGCTGAGCTATATATTTAAAGGATGAGAACTCATTAAGGAGACAACTGAGAAAAGCTTTGACGTACTTGCTGCTTTTGTGAATTAATTTAGTTTCTTTTCTCCACTGTATATTGATTTTAAAGGGAAAAAAGGGTACATACTGTTATTAATGAGTAAGCTCCTTCAGACAATAGGATACTATCGTCTAGTCACCTCTGTCAACGTAACTTGGAGACAAACCTTGAACATTGTCCCCTCTTTGCATCATCATCTTTAAATACAACTCCCCCCCTTTCTTCTCACTTTGCTGTAATTCCAAAGACTAGTTTACACTTGAAAGCTTTTTTAGCATAGCTGAATGCGTCACACAATCACACCCATAACTGATGTAAAATGTACTTGGGTAGATGTAGTTATATCAGCAAATATCAGTAATATGTATTTTGAACTAAACTAGCTAAAGATAGTGATTACCTTTCCCAGCAGACTTCTTTTTGTTATTCACAAGGCCTTACCCTAATTCCTTAGATTTTCTCTTATTTATGAAAATAAACCTTTGGTCACAATCATACTAAGACAATTACATATTTAAAAAAAACCCCAAAAACACAAAGGAAAATCAGATGAACATAAATGAGATGCCAATTTTAAGATTTGAAGCTTGATTTGTTGACAAAGTAGAAATCTCTTTGTATTAAGAAAAATGCAGCAAATTTGCAATCAGTTTCCAGTTTCATCTGTGATAGGTTGAGCAGTTCCTGAGCAATTAAAGAAGAGTTCTAGTTTTCTCTGCTTTATTATTAGCATTTCAAAGGAATTCTGCATGAATTTTGTGAATACAGCCAGATTGGCTGCCAATTTTAAAAAGTGATTTTATGCATGAATAGTATGGATTCCTTTCTACCTCTGAATAAAATACTAGTTTTCAAAAATCATAGCATTATAGCATGTTACGTTTTGTGATGCTTCTGTACTACTTTTACTTTGGATTAACTATGAAATCAATTAATCCAGTGTTAACCAAAATGCCTTAACTAAGTTAATAGAACACTTTTATTTCCCCCTGTCTCTGCTGGCTGAGATGATACAAACACCAGAACCAACGAAAGGTAGAGCATGTGGCCAGAAGAAAGGCTCAGGAATGGCCCTGTGGGTGACAGTAAGCTGTCAGACCAGCCCGTACTATCTCATCTACCTAAACACTTACCACTGATTCCCAGGCAGTTGTGGACTTCCCTTTCCATCGTGCAGAACACAAAGGCTGTCAAAACACACGGGTTTTCTTCAAATTTACATTATTGCAGGTGTCTTACATTTCTCCGCTCTTGCTGCTTCCGGGCACAACAAACAAGACTGCTCCAGCTGGTCTATGTAATTCAAAGCATCACTTTATTTACTTAGTACAGACTACAGGAATCATCCTCAGTTTTCTTTTCTACATAGGTGTTCTGAACATCCAGAATCCACTGAACGAGTGATATATAAAAATGCAGGATGGCAGGTGAGAGCTAGCCAACAGCTCTGCATTTCTTATTTTTTATAGAATCCAGTGCCCTGTGGGTCAAAGGAGCAAACTGAGAAGTGTTTCTCACAGGCAGACAAAGATCAAAGCACTTTTATCTCTTTACAGCAGAAACAGCCATGTTATTTCCTGTTCTCTCAATCCAGAATATTCAGTCAACTATCTCGACTGAAGGAAGGCAAGGTCATGTGTCACAATATAAAAATTGGTGCTGAGAAAGACTATCATATATGGGGGAAAAGAATGAAGACCACCAACTTGGTAAAAATACCTGGAACGATACTTGAGAAATAACAAAAAATTCCAACTGGAGACCAAAATGTCATATAAAGATACACATGTGTGTAGATACACACACATACTCACAGACCTGCAGAGTTAGGAAATGTGTTGATGCTGGGTGACTGGCAAGAAAGCTTGCAATTCAGTGTCAGTGAATATTACACGCACATGGAGATAGCGAGGGGAGAAATTTACCCCTGAAAACATCTTCCCAGAAGCCTCTCATCTCTGACTTCCCATAACCTTCCTCTTCTGTGGTAGCCCCCTTGTCTGGTCCTCTGAATCTGTGAGAGTCGAGAACTCATTTTTAAGTACAGGTTCTCTTAAACAAAGCATATTATTTTAAATTGAGGCCTAGACGTGCAGTACAGCATGTATCGACATACATGCACATAATACATGCACATATTAAAAATGTAAGACACTTGTGCAACACTTCATCACAACCAATAAACATACATCATCATTCTGTGACTATTTTCTGCCAAGAATTATTCTGTTCCTGGATGAGCGCTAGGGAGCATGGCTGTGCAGGTACCGTTACCTTGTTCAGAAAAGTAGCCATGGTAAAGGGCTGAAAAAATATGTACATCAGCAATGCCAACTTTAAGCCTCAATCCATTCTGATGCAACACTGTATTTTTGTTACCCTCCCAAACTGTTTAATAAAGCATTTCAATAAAGTTTTTTTCATAGCAGTAAACAATACATATGCCAAATGCACTGACCCTTCTATTAAGAAACAATAAATATTTCAGCTGCTTTTCCTTACGTAAAAGTGTAGACATTTCACTAAGCCGGAGGAACAGTAAGTCACATTACTTCCTTTGTACTCCTCTAAATCCTTTAGCAGAATTACCTCTTAATTACTAATATTTGTGTTTCTAAAAGTATTACAAAGAAATGCTTTACAGTATATCGAGTACGTTAAAGATTAGATTAATAACCACACTAGTTACTTAAATCTTTACTGATAAGAAATTTGATTTTTCAAACAAATCTGCCCACAATATTGCTGACCACATTATATTTCTGACAGTAGAAAGATATCATTACTAGACATTAAAGTTGCTTGACGCATAGAAGCACTGTGAAGGAAACATAATCTGAGTATAAACATAATTTACAGTCTAACACCTCTTTACCACGGCAATATAAAGTATTTATAGTACTAATGAAGATTGGCTCGTACACTTCAGATTTGAAATAGTGGTATGAGTATGAAAAATTTGGCCCACAGTCTTTATATGACCTAGAGTGCCAGGTTGGGCAACAGATTAAGGTGAGACAACATCGTTCTGCCAAGAGTAACTAGTCTCCTGCAGGGACATCTGAACAAGAAGTGAACCTCTTGAGCTGCCTAGTTTGCAACTCAGTTTTATCAGTGTAAATGGAGATCAGCAGTTGTTTATGTAAAGATGCTAATCTAAAAATTCAGACAGCTTAGCGTCAAACATACCTCCTCAAGAGCTGTTACCTGGAGGCAGCAGGAAGTCAGAGATGATAAACATTTCAGCTACCCCAGGTTAACTGGTTCAAAGCAAATGCAAGGCGACACCTAAATGTACTTACCCCTGCCAAAAAGTACTACCCTGTTTTTAAAATTTTATTTAATAACTACTGTTAGAGCACAAAGAGGACACAGAAATATTCATCTATAAAAGTTGTCTTTGATACAAGTCATGTATTCTAATGATTTTAGTCTCACAACAGTCTCTCAAAACCTGTGTGAAAAAACCTCTGACAATACAGCCATTATCTCTAGCATTTAGTACCTTGTGCAAGCATTCTTTTTTCTTGTTTCATCAGTTTGTCAAGCAACAGTTTAAATTTCCCAACAGGGAAACAACTGTACTGTGTTCCTAACTTTAAGAAGTTATTTCAACTGGTTCACAATATTCCAAATCCACCTGGTATCCAAACGTTTCTTACACTTAAATGAAATCAAACCAAAACCTGCTTTTTTGTCCTCACCCTGAAGACAACAAATCCCAAGAACTACTCAAAGTGCAAACTTTACAAGCAACCTGTTCTCCAAGCCCTCAATTTACTTGTACTGTCTGTGTAACAAGTATTAATGGTGGATTGTTTGTTGTATTTACAGCAAGTTTATTGGGGAGAGGAAAAGTATTCTGTTACAAATGAGCCATGTTCACTATTGAGATTACTTCCAAAGAGAGCATTCAGAAAGCAAACCTGAATATATTACATTGACAATTATTTTTCAATATTTTAACATTGGCCACTTAAAATTGGTTGTGTTATTAGCACATATACTGATCTTTAAATATACTACTTCTACATAAACAGTGCAAATCTCAATATTCACATCAACCTGAAATTAATGCTGCAATTACTGTTGACATTCACATCAAGAAAGTAGTAAACTATTTCACATGAGCAATTCCAAAACCTCAGAATGCCATTATTAATAGTAAAGAAACACAGAACAAACATGTTGGGCTTCAAAGCCTTGTTTTGATACACACAATCCCTGTAAACATGGATGTATTGTATTTGTCAATACTGATATCTGATATAATTCTATAAATAAAACCACTGATATAAACAATTCCTATAACCTTTTTTGCATAGGGTTTGGATAAAGGTTACTTTAAGATAGAGCAAGCTGTTAACAAAATCCCCTAGTCAATTAGTCTTCCATCACACAAATTTAGGCATATGATTAACTTTACACAAGGAGTCTCTCTGACTTCAGTGGAAACTTACACATGTAAGCATTTGCAAAACTGGAGTCATCCTTAGCACTTAAGTTACCCCTAGTCATTGAGAATACGAGCAATAAAAGAGCTCTCCATAAATTTATAAAATACGCTGATTTAAAAGTTTATGCTGATGTTTCTGTAAGTCACATTTATGATTCCAAACAGTTATGTACATACTATACTATCACAGTAGGAAATACTTCACTGTAGAACACCACAGTGAACAAGTTGTGAAGCACAGTGTTCAATATAATTTCCCTTTAGTATTCCCAGTGCATAAGTTGTTAACATCTACACTACACAAGGTGCCCAGGTCTAGTATTTGTTATATACAATGTAAAAGCAAGATAGAAAGAGCTTTGCAGTTGAAAGTAAGGAATGAAAACAGTGGGTAATATACAGGGATTCACTCCTGCAAAGTACAGAATTCTCCTTCACAATGATCACAACCACCAAATAAGGTGGATTTCAGGTCATTCAACCCAGTAAAACAGTGCTCAGCACCTTGTAGGAAGAGAGATCTGAGTGCACTTTATTATAAAACATCTCCTTTTGATGTTATAAAGTGCAAAAAAGAAAACATATATTCTAATATTTTACAGTCACTATTAAACTGCCATATTTGCACAATGCAAAATTAAAATAACTTGGTATACATTTTGTATGGACCCTATAATAACAAATGTTGAAACTGGAGTTTCTGCATCTTTAAGAAAATCTTAGTATTTTAAAGTTATTGTGTAAATATAAAAAGAAAATATAAATTATAATTAATTCTTGAAATAGATTTTTTAACGTGTGACCATTTTCCAAAGCATTCAGTATGAAATTTTTCTCTTATAGCATTACATTTTAGAATCTGTAAAACATTTTAAAAGTTAGTAACTTCAAAAAGTAGAAATAAAAATTATTGTATCACAGTACTAGACACCTCACCTTATCAGACATCTTTTACCCTAGGTTTTAAAAAAAAATAAATAAATTAAAAAAAAATCTAAGACTTGTATTCCCAGTTGTTTAGAACAAGATACATGGAGTTACTTTTTAAAACATAAGAGTTCCGTAACATTTCATTTTGCTCTTAAAATTTAAATAAATGGGATAGAACGTATCCACAAATTTAAAAGGCCTTGAAGTACTATACTGCTTTGGTGCATTGTACCAATGATTCCTTACATGCGTGAAGAATCAAATTCTATGACATTCTTCACAGAGCTGGGTAAAAGCAGAAGATCCAAGAGTTCTATATGTGTTACAGAGCTTTCCTTTCTTTGAACAGTGAGGGAGAAACTGGGAGGAAGGTTCTGACACTGAGAAACAGTCTTCCTCCAAGCTGTACCACGAGCAGCATAGCTCCTTACCTTGAGCTTGACTGCACACTAGTAATTTAGCCCTAAGAGCATACAATGTTGGTTGTATAATAGTATTATACCATATCCAGTGATATCAAACTTAATGCTAAAAAGAAATGTATTGAAATACAAAGCTAAAAAGGTATGATTGAAATACATTTTTAAAGCAACAGACATATTCCTGTAGCCTGTAAGCCACAGGGAGGGAAGGGTGGGAGAAGACAATATAGGTACTACCAAGTTTATAACCACCTAAATCTTCAAGACAGGATATTCTCTGCTTTTCAGTCAGAGAACTGGAAGATGGTTTCTGGGTTATTGCTGTCTGTAGGGTTTGTTGGCTGCAGTGTCTTTGTAGGTGTAGTTTTACCATGAGAATGAGAGGAAGAAGAATGTGAACTTTCACTGGAGCTGCTACGTGTCTCTGTGCTTGTACTTGTTTTTTTCATTTTCCTTCTCTTTGCAAGAGGTGCCTTGTCAACATTCTGGAGACAAAATCCTTCCCTTTTGTACTTGTTAAAGGCCTGTTTAAAAATAAAAGGTAATTCTAAGCTTTTCAAGAGGTTTAAGACATTTTATGGCTCGCAGCTTATTATGAATGTTCATAATGTTATGGTAAGTCATAAGATAAACTGTAATCTCTTGACAGATCCCTACTACTTCTTATTGTAGCTGTAACAATAACTTTACTAGCCTTTACACATATTTAAGAGCCAATACATAACATTAATTGGCATCTTCCCCCCCTTGTTCTTTTTAATTTAGAAGTATTTTTTATTAAGCCTTAAACCTATTTACATTTTCAGAAACTACACTTAGTTAAATTACAGTTTTTCTTTCAGCCCAAATTATGCTGCATTATCAGGACCTCTCCAAGTAACAATTCCTTTCTTTTTCTCTTCTTGGTAGTAAGTGTCTAGAAGTATTTCAGCATTAATCTGCTCAATTTCAGTTTATTCTCTGTAGAAGGAATCATAAGAATCAACACTATATTTGTATAATACAGTTGCAGTTCAAACATTTTTAGTAAATATACAATGGTAGACAAGCAAGTCCATTAAAAAAAGATATCCATGATATGAAAGACATGAATTAGATATGTTCCAGAAATTTTACCTTGATTTTGTACCATAAGGACAAAAAGTCAGTTACTTAAGTTACACAGAAAGTTTCTTCTCTTTTTTTATAAAAGTTTGAAGACCTTTTAATATATTTCTCTAAGAAACAGAATATTTATACTAGCTATTTCATGAATAGCTGTCTCTCAGTCCCCCAAACCCCATTAGTAGAAATGTCTTCAAGAAATTTATTCTTGCCTCATCATTCATGTTTTCACTGTACCCAATCACAGATGTTAGGTATGGAGGAAAAAATTGCAGCTATAAGCAATCACTGAATTATAAGGACAAATACGTATTTTTAATTAAGAGAAAACATACAAAAATCTAGATTAACACATTACAAAATTTAGCACAACATAAGATTTCTTAGAACTTACATGAAAAGTGGCCTTGACATATGTATGCACCGCAGCTCCTGAAGAGCCTAAGTTATCAGGAGTCATTAGAGGGTTGGATGACAGCTGGCTGCCATCCTGAAGCCATTCATTGTATCTCAGGCTGGACATTTTTATTCTTTTGTTTGGATCCACTGTTAGAAGTCCTAATAGAAATATATTACATTATCTTAAATTGTGAGCTGTTTATCATCTTTTAATAAAAAATGCAATTTTTTTTTAAGAAAATCTCACGCATTGCTTTGATAAATAAGTAATGACAATATTTATCCTAGGTATGCCAATATTTATCCTAGATAAGACTCACAATGTTATACTATCATCCTCTCCAGAAGAATCATTAAATGCAAGAAATTACTATTTAACTGTTTGATAACTCTCATCTCTTCTCACACAAACTCAGAACTACCAAATGATTTCTTCACTTAAAACCTGTCTAGGATGAAGTTCAAGAGAGTAAGCCTCAGATTCTCTGAGTGATCCCCTGAAGTCTGAATCTGGAGATGCCTACATTTTTGGCAGAAAAATTCCTTACAAGCCTGCTTCTACAGAAATTCAGAACTCCATCTTAATTCTATTAAGACTGGTGTCTCTCTCATGCTGAAAACACAATTAGATGCTCAAAAGCTTAAGGGGAATCAAAGCATGGCAAATGTGAATGAAGCAGCTAAGAAATACAGTAGTCTTGGTACACGCATTCAAAAACAGTCTGAGGAAAAAGTGATAGTAATACATTAATTTTCTGCAAAAGCTCAGCTTTTAAAACATTTATCTCATAACCTGGTGTTTTTACAAAAGTAAAAATAACATAAAAGCTCTGCTTTTAAATAGGTTTTTAAAGAGTGACTTCACTTTTTCTGAAGCTCTTCAGTTACTTCTAACCCCGATAACCTTCTATCAGCATCTCACTACATTAGAAAGCTCTCTGCTAGGCATACAACTAATTTGTAAAGCCATTCTGATGTGTCCACCTTTACCCATAACTTGCATTAGGGGGTCAGCACATAGCTCAAGCTGTGGATACTACTCTGTCAGGTTAGGCACTCTGATGCCGATCACAGCATCCAGATATTGTGTAGTTCTCAAAATTTTATCTTTTGAGATAAAAATATAAGGTACATGAAATATTTGTGAATACATACCTTGAATTAACTCTTTAGCTTCTGCAGAAACATTTTTCCAAGCTTCTCCTTCAAAGGAAAATTCTCCCTTTTTAATTTTCTTCATAATTTCCAATGCACTGGTACATGTTAAACTTTTGTCTTGAGACTGAAATGGTACCTGTCCTGATAGCATTGTATACTGTCATGAGAATGAAAGCAGTATTAACAAACACAATATATTTATTGACAACCCTATTACTAAATATGGAGTGCTGTTGTTTCCATCACCAGTGCTATACAATAAAACTTTGACTAGCGTAACTTCAAGGCTGTAGAAAATTTAACATATGCAAGACTTTCTCTGGAGTCCTTGTGAGAAAACACATTCATATGTTTCAGGAAACTATACACAAAACACAATGGTATGTCTACCCAGTTTTTTATTGACAACCCTATTACTAAATATGGAGTGCTGTTGTTTCCATCACCAGTGCTATACAATAAAACTTTGACTAGCGTAACTTCAAGGCTGTAGAAAATTTAACATATGCAAGACTTTCTCTGGAGTCCTTGTGAGAAAACACATTCATATGTTTCAGGAAACTATACACAAAACACAATGGTATGTCTACCCAGTTTATATCTATTGAAATTCATTTTCTGTAAATCAGAATGCAGGCCGATTCCTTCTCTGAATTGAAACTGTAGGAAGATTATATGGATGCCTGTAGAATTTCCTAACAAGAACACCTCTTTTTAAGAACCAGACTGTATCAAGTATTTTTTCCATTCCCAGAAATGTTGAATTTAATTTACTGCTTAGGGAAAAAAAAATCTCCACCCCTGGAAAACATGCGTCTTCGGAACCTATTATTTGTGCAGCAGTATTTTCACCTCACTTGAATTCAGCATCTACGCAATTCAAGTCTGAAACTGTGCCGAGTCTTTTGCATTTTAACAAAAAGTAAATACATACAATAAAGTTACAATTAAAAACCTCTATCACTCACCAAAATGACCCCCAAACTCCATAGATCACAAGATTCATCATAGCCATTATGATTCAAGAGCTCTGGGGCAGCATAATGAAGAGTAAAGCATGGAGTCTTAAGAGGCTGATTATCAGGTGGTTTTAAACGAGCAAAGCCAAAATCAATTATTTTTATTTCTGAATTATCAGTTTCATCTGTAAACAATAAATTCTGAAAAGCAAAGACAAAATCAATACCAGCACTAGTTAGAAAATTGGTTAGAATACTTAATAGTTATTTTTCTTACATTTATTACTACAGAAAACTTCCCATTACCTAGAGAAAAGGGGAACTGGGAGACACTGGGAAAAAAATGGAAAAGTAAAAATAACAGTACTCTGGGATATAAGAAAATGTGATGCGTTTATCTGCCTCCTGTATATCTGCAGGTTAGGATAGTTCTGTCTGAGATTATTAGTGAAAAATGGATATTTAGCAGAGAACAGCGGGGAAAATAATTCAGGGAACAATGACAAAAAAAAAGCAAAGACATCAACATAAACGGAGAGCTGCCTTCTTCCTCAAACAAAAGTAAATTTTCTTAAGCTTCCGTTTCCTTCTGGCATGTTGCGAATGACAGCTTCCTTGTGTGTGGAACTCTTGTTGCATGTCTTGTCTTCTGACTGAATAGTCTTTGGTCCTCAAGTGGTAACACACTGAAGCCATATTGCCATGAGCACAGTAATGCAAAAGAATAATTTGAAAGCAAAGGATGGTGGACTAGGAAGTGCACCAATAGCTCAGTAGTTGTACTGACTGCTGCCTGGCATGGAGCTCAAAGTCAGTATAGGTATGCTTTCTGGAAGAGACCTGGGACCAACGGCATTCAAGCACTGAAGGTCACATTGCAGTCCAATCTCAAACCAATGGCCTACTCCTTTCACCAAGGTAAAGAAATTTTGATAGAGTAGTCCCTGAGAATTCCAGCTTTACAAACTGGAATGTGGCATCTCGGACTTGAAGACAGACAAGTTGTTATCAGTTCAGAAGATTTAAGATAATCTGTTCTTCTTTTCCCTGAGTATTTATATTTGTCAAGAAAGATACAAGATGAATTATAAATGATTTCTACTCCCCCCTGGAACTTCTGAGAGAAGAGAGCGCAAAATTTTTGCTGTTGCCTTTGCTGTTTAATCTATGCAATGCTAGAAAAAGTCTCAATATTAGAAATCCTATAGCCCTATGTAATTTTGTAATACAAAAGGTGAATGACTCAAAGTAATGAATTTCAAACTCATTAAGAATGGAAAAAAGACTGCTAGACCGCAAGCAGATCAATGAGGAGAACCTGAGAGCATTCATTATAGATAGAAGAGAATAGCTGCTACAAAACAGTATTTTTGCATTCTGTACTGCTGTTATAGCTTAATGCACAATCAGAAAAGTCAGTTTTCCATATGAAAATGTTGTGCAAAATGGATCTGAAGGAAGCCTAATTTCAGCAAAAATATTAATATAATGTATAATGAGAATAGGTGATTAATACAATCATCTTTTTTCTATGGTGATGTTATATAGCCAACAAGTAAATAAAGTACTGCAGTAACATTAGTTTAAAAAGACCTCCTTTCTTAAAAAAAATGAAATTGGCTATGTAACAGAAAAAAGGTACAGTCCATACGTCCTCAGTTGGGTTCAGACTACTTTATTGATTAGGTAAATAAAGCGTGTTTCATAAAAACCCACACTTAAAGCTATATTCCACATATTTTAAGGATATATAGAAAAACAACATTATCTCTGCCTTGGTATGTTTTTTCTAATATCTTTAGAACCCAGTTTATAGATTAACGATCACTTCACAGGAACAGTCCTCCAATCCTCTACTGAGAGGCTCCAATTGGTCACATATGCTACATGAATTCTTTATTTCTGTGAATTCTCTATTTTCTATGCAGTACTTTTCCTCTGTTTTGCAGAGCAATATGTGTGATCTAATTACTATTGCTTAAACAGAAGAGTCTTCCACTCCATGCAGTTAAAAAGAGCCTCATCCTTAGTGACATGTAACCAGCCATGTTTTTTAAAATTGACATCTAATGTGATACTGATAAGTCTAAGTTGAACATCAAACAAATCTGACTGGAATTGTTAGAAAAGCAACAGAATTTCCTATATATCTTTTTACAGAAAGGTGCACTAACCACATCTATATTGGGAAGCCTGCATATCCCATCCTAAGTTCATGTCTGAACCTAAAATAGTAACTTTCAAAACAACAAGCAGGAAGGAGACAGGCTGGTTAAGTCCAACTTTGTGGGGGCAATGCATTCTGCAAGCTGTTTGCTAACCCTTCATTACTTGGACTTCCCAGACTTCTGTTCTTGAACATCATGTAGAATTAAAGACTTCCTAATTTACCATGCAGCTGAAGCTCTGCTTTACAGAATCTGGCCTTTATATTCAAGACGGCAATAGGACTAAAATGATGAGAATAGAAAAAGAGAAGGGATTTCTGGGTTTTGTCCTTTTAATAATGACTTGTTTCAAAAGCCATTTTCTTTCCTTGATGTCAGCAGAGAAACTTTTTCCGAGAGTCATATTTTCAACTGACACATTAGAATTTCACAATAGCCCTTCTTTATTTAGTTGTTTATTTAGTACAGAGACTTTTTCAAACTTATTTTGGTCCAATTTTCAAAAACAGTTTCATACCAACACCTAGCAGACTTCTTTACCTGTTGAATTGGAATTACTATAAAAGAAGTAAGTTTGTAATATACCAGAAGGTGTGTTACAAAAGGATGAAACATCGGTAGGAATGGTGGATCATTTTAAACTTCAGATACAAAAGGAGTAGCTATTTCCTGAGGTATGATGACTGTAATCACTAATACAATATAACATCCTTACTGGATGAACTAACATCAATCTACACTATTCTTGGGCTAAAGAAAACTAACATATCCAGGCCCACTGTCAGCAAAGAAAAAGGAGCAAATATTGGCTCCAGGAAGCAGAACAAAGCCGGTAGTCAACCTTACCATAGTAAACTGAATTGTCTGGAAGGCAAGATGTTGCTGCACAATACCAGAACAAGTAATTATTGAAAAATATGTATAATTGTTTCTTTTGGGAAACTAAACTTACTGAACTCAAATCTCTTATCTTTATTAGTCAGCTCTGTTAGTTTATGGTTCATTTTGTGTTTAACTGGGACAGAGGACAGTACAAGGGTGTCACAGCTACGTCCAAAAGAAGCCCTACCAAGGGAAATTAAGATCAAACAAAAGGTGGAAATGTACAGGCAAATAGCTAGTTCACCTAGCTCTGCTTGTGAACTGTTTCATACAATAAATATATACTTACCACTAGTAAAAACTGTCTCCAAATAGGCAAAGAATGTTTTTGAACAAGTTAGACTAAATTGCTTACAAATTTAAAAATGTTTCCTAACAGTTACTTTTACCTATGAACAGAAAAATATCTACAGAATTTGCTAAGTAAAAGTGAGAACATTTTATTAAAAATATAGAAGTAGAAAAAGCTGGAGGAACAGAAATATGTCACATTCCAGATATTTAATAACAATGTCTAAACATACATAAGCAAGTCACTATACCTCAGGTTTCAGATCTCTGTGGACTACTCCTACATCATGCATATGGCTCACCGCTGACACAAGTCTGCGCATGATATGACTGGCTTCAGTCTCACTGAAATGTTTCTTTTTCTGAATACGTTCAAGCAATTCTCCTCCCTTCAGCAATTCCATTACTAGAAATGTGTGAAGCTGAAACAATAAATAAAAATATGGGATGTTAGAAATTCAACATTACAAACCAATATTCATTCAGGAGCTAGGTGCTATTCCGACAGTTTCTCAAATTTTGAAGAAATAACACTGCTGCTCATAGCAATTCGGAAGGCCAATAAGAAGCACCAAATTGCATCTCAGATGACATTTTTCCCCCCATCAAGCTCACTGAGATGGAAGAATGTTGATGTCTTCCCCATGTCCACCCATGTTTATTTACAAAAATGCAATGCCGCCAGGTAAACCGGTAAGTGTGTAGGGAGACGAAATGCCTTTCTTTAGGCTAACAAATAAAGCTGGAAAAAGCTAGACTTTTGCTGTTTAAGCTTGTTGTGATGTAGGGATACATTTCTATTAATATGCATAAGGAGTTAGGCATTTAATGTTACCAAATCCTTTAAAAACACCCTGAAACTTTACTGTGAAATCAAAGATAAAATCAGAAGAAATTCTAGATAATCCCCTACAAAGTAGTAGCCAAAGCTACTCTATCATTAGAATCACAACAGACATCTTCCCAAACATTACACAGTATTTTTTTAATTAAAAAAGTAATGGTTGTTTAGATGGTTGTTCTTTTCAAGACAATAAGCAGTGACTTCCTTGATTATAAGACAACATTAGCACACAATCAACTGCAATTCAAATGTCTTGCCATTAAACAAACAGTAGACTTCTCAGGACAGGAAAGTGAGTTAGCATTGTCAAAAGGCAATGGATGTAGGCATGTGATGGCTTCTAGCATTTCTTTCCCCTGAATGACAGTAACAAAAGTAATATTTGCAAGCAAATAAAGAGCTCTGGGAAGAGGTCAAAAATGAAATTCAAATGATCAGACAGATATTAGAGCAAGTTAAAAATTGGAACTTTTTTTAAGACAAACCACAGAAGTATCAAAACTAGAAAATTTTGATCAGTTCTGGTCTTCAGAATATTGTGCATGAGTAATCTAGAAGGTAACACCTGGCAGCTACAAGGAGCAACTAAAAAGACAATGATTTGGCTGGTTGAGAGTAGCCTATTCAGTTGCAGAGCAATCTGAAGAACATTTTTTTTTAGGTATTCCTGAGTATAGTCATTTTACTATGTAAATGTAAAATGTAAATGTAAATGACTGTAGTCATTTCTACACACATGTACTCACACTGTACATAAATGCAAAAAAGGGCTTCCTTATCATTAAAGCTTACAGTACAGATTTTTCATCCTCTCAGCTCATTTTAGAAGTGCTCCACTCTCCTGGACCTTGTATAAACAGCATAATGGGGATAGACTGGGATACGTGGGGAGGCAAGAGGGCCCATGTTCTGTTACAAAATCATAGACTAGAAACAGATTAGTTTAGGTTGGAAGAGACCTCTGCAGGACATCTGGTCCAAACCCCTAGCTCAAACCAGGGCCAACCTCCAAGTTAGATCAAATTATGGCTTATTATATGCTGTGGAACTTGCATTACACTAAGGAAAAAGACAACTAAGGTCTCTAAATAAACCCTAAACTGATCTCAATATATTTTCAAATAGAAGCTCTACTTTCACATTTGGTAATTTAGCAAGCTATTGGTTATCTCCATTAAGTTACTGATATGTAAGGAAAAAACACTAGATATGTAATCTTCATATGCAAGACTTAAAATAATATTTGTGAAATAATTTGGAAGATTCATGACAACCCTGAGGGAAGGTACCTCAGTTTCATAGATATGGAAACTGGGCCATGAATATATTGTATGATGATTAACAAAGCAGATCAAGGACAGAACCAGAAACAAATCCAGGACTCTAATTCTTCCAAATACTTTTTGATTTGCTATAGTAACTGCAGGTTCCCTTGAATGCAGAACTTCTTTCATCTTCTATACTGACTAGACAAAAGCCGTAGGAAAAAAGTTGCCTCCGCAGTAACAGTATGCTTAACTCCTAAAAGGTCTTGGAAAAAGACATGGCAATGTGTTTGGCAAGTGCTGATTATAGTTTCTTCAAAATACCTGGTCATGATAAACTTCATGTAACTTCACTACATTCGGGTGTCCTTCGCAGAGTTTCAGAGCTGTTATTTCTCTCTGGGTGTTGGCTTCCATTCTGAAAAAATTGGGCAGTCATTTTGTACCAATTTTACTGAGCAAATTGCACATTCAAAGTGTTACACCTATTTTTTTTAATTGCTTGCAATCCAGATTTTTTTAATATTACAACCGCTTGAACACAATTAAAAGCATATTCAAAGTAAGCTGAGCAAAACTCTCCACGTAACCCTGCAAGTTAGGACATTAAAAAACCACACCCAAATCAAACAACGTTTCTGATGCAACTGCAACTTGCTACAGCAAAAGCTGAAATGATATTATAGAATAGTTTCTATCTAAAACAAACCTTTCCTCTAGTCCAGGGCAATTTGACTTCACCTCTGTTCCTACAAGTATGTTAGTTCAGCTTTATATTGAAGATTGAAATTATTGGCCCAGTCCTTTTCCATTCTTATAGGAGGCAAGTACTTCCAAAGTTGTATGGAAACTATGAGATCCTACTAGAAAAAAGAGCAACATCATCTAGATATGAACTGTGTTATACAAATGAACCCCTAAACAGGCCATTTTAAAAATCTGAAATGGAAGAGGTAAGAAGATACTAGCTCCAGAGCAAAAATCATCGCACAAATTCTCTTTCAAGTACTGAAATCCATAGCCAAAAAAGTGAACACAGTGAACATTATAAAAACTATGTGAACGGGTACAGAGCAGAACTTTTTATTTTCCACTAAATATGTATGTCGATTTGTTTTGGGCAAATAATGCCTGAAAGTTTTTGCCAAAACTCTCTCCAAGAAAGGCTAATCCTGTACTGACTTAAGAGAACGGCCTTATGACAACAACACAGATAGAATCTCTCTCACCACACGTGTTCTTGAGTTTTGGTTGCCTTTTTTTTTTTCTTCTTAATTAGGAACTGTGATGAGAATTTTGTGCTGGAGAATTCTGTTTTTCTGCAGGCTTCATATAATCAACAAGTAAACTAAGCTGTTCCACCTGCATCACTGCTGATTATGTTGTTTAAACTGAAAATTACTTCAGGTCCTTAAGAAATTAGAAAAACTGACTCAGATAGTCTTTCCTCCCTAAACTACTATCAGGAGAAGGTGGACCTAGGAAACAGATGAAAAAGGTTCAGTATCATGAAAAACCTTTGAAATTTGTGCGTGGACTTTTCTGAGTATTTTCCCCTCTATAAATAGTTACCATCTCAGATTTTAAACAGAAAATATCGTGAAAGAACAAATGGGAAGCTCTAAAACAGTAACTCAAGCAAGTTTACAAGACTCCCATGTTTCATTGGCCTTCAGACACACAGATAAACCTCATTGTTGGATGGAGGCAGGTCCAGCACTACTAACAAAGCAACACCACAGAGGAACTCTTGATCTGAGCTTTCACCTCACGTATCATGAAAAGGTTTGCCTAGGTGAAGGATTCATTTTTTTGGCACCTTTGATGGGTAGGAGTGAAAGACCATCTGACTTTGAGGCAAAGAAGTTACTAGAAACCTATTATACTTTTCCTTTTAGCAAGAGTTATAGTGTGGTCCTCAGAGCAATATTATTTACAGTTTAACAGTTTCTTATTCAGGGCTGGTTTGTGTCCAGCCATTCAGAGTGTGGGTTTATTGCTACCCCTAAATACTACACAAACATACTCACAGCCTGCAATCCTCAAAAAAAAAAAGTCTCTGTATACAGACCACTTCTTACCTTCATTTAGCCTGGTCCACAAGGATGAAAGAGAAAGAGCAAATGAACCTGTGAGTAATATCATTTAGGGACATAATTTCTAAAAGTTTATTTCTATGGGAAAAGTCAATACTAGTTTGCTCACTGTTATCCAGAAACAAAAAAATCCATTAGCTTAAGATGAGATGGGAGTACTGATCTACAGCTCTGCGTGCACCACAGGAAAAAATTTTGAATGTAGACACAAGGCAGAAATTGCCAGCTTAAAATACCCTATGTAGGTATCTACTGTGTACTACTTGTCTAAGGTCTCATTATAATGAGTGAAATCCTAGTTCGTGAATATTACAGGGTGAACTAGTTCACCGTAAAATACATACCTAGAGTAGGATTCAGTGGCCTAAGCATAGGAAAGCCTGGAAGACATCTACATAAAGGTAGTAGTCACAAGACTGATGGGAATTGGAGAACAGAGAGGAACCAACAGATGCTAAAATGGCACTACGTAGATGCCTATGTTTAAGTTACTGAATCCCACTACGAGTGCCTGGTCATTCGAGTGTCTCTGTAGGCTCCACTAACAGTTTTGAGTAGGCCTCCATTAATCATAGCAGACCTCAGAAAACTGACTCAGACACCTATATTTAGGTGTCTTATTCTTGAACTTATCCTATCCAAAAAGCATGTGATGAAACACTTAAGTCTGGTGGACAGTTACTTCTAGAGTCTAGAAAAACAGAGGTACAGCCAAATGTCTTGGAGAAGAGATCACTGTGAACTATCATTCTGATAGAACATTTATACTTCCCCTTTCCTTTCCTGCCAGCATTCTACAACATGCTAGGGACATATTTACTAATGAACACTGCAAAACGAAGCTAAAAATCCATCCACCCCTCAAAGAATCCCTTATCTTCATTTTTCTCTGGGCAGAAACTGCCAGAGGTATCTATTCTGGAAGAGGACCAGATGGTCCCCACGTACAAAGCAAGTCAGCTGCCTCCATTGTGGTGTTCTCTTCAGAACATCCAGGAAACAAGATGCAACTTACAACTCCATAGTCTAATTCCATTTTACACACACACACTTAATTAGATCTGAGGCAACCCACACTATAGATCCTTCTTAAAAGCAATGTCCTAGCTAATCACCTGGGCTGCTTAGGAAAGGGAGCTGGCATAAGCCTACATTCAGTTCACTTAAGTCTAAAGATAGGAGGGCCTTATACCTTACTCTGGTTAGGAGCAAAATTAGGGGGAATTAGGGTAGAATACAACTAGGAACCAGAAAAGTACCCTTTAGGTTTCTTCTTGTGTCCTCCCCAACAAGAACAACATTTTGTTTCAAAAGACTCTCAGAATCTTTTAAAGGTCATAAGGTTACTATAAGTTTCTGTAGACTCTTCAAATAGGAAATTATTTTAAAGTTATTTTTCCACTTCCAAAAATGTAGCGAACATTATTCTAATCCATGGGTGACAGTAAGCAAAGAAAATATTTTTATTGTCTTATAGAATATTTATACCTTTTGCTAATTATTTTTACTGCATACTCTTGGCTAGTTTTCTTGTGTAAGCACTTTCGACAAATGGAAAAACTTCCTTCTCCCAATGGTTTCTCTTTCAGATCCAGTTCATAATGATGATAAAATGGAGAGTCCTGTTAGGAAACTGTCTGTATTTAGTTCTGCAGAATACTTTTAGTATACACAGTCAAAGACAAAGAGTAAAGTTTCGTGAGAATCTTTCATCTACATTTAAAATTGCAAAAGAGCTCTCTTTCTGATAAAATATAATCTTAACTTCTATTTAATAATATGCACAGACTTTATTCTAACAATCAAAGAGTAAATCTTATGTTACATTAAACAATCACTAAATAAATCATTACTACTACAATAGCTTAAGATACAAAATATTCAGACAAACAGGATCAAAGATGGCTGTACATACATTTATCCACAAAACTATGTGCTCGTTCGAAGACATCACAATAGCATGTGTTCTTATAAGGCTTCACACAACTATACATACTTTCGGGCAAATACATCATAGAAGGAATTCTGATATACTAAAGTAGCTTCAAAAATATCTACAATGGTTGGCTGAATAAGAACTATCAGGAGTCAAATTACTATTACTACTATACTTCAGTCCTCTGGAAAACTAGACAATCATCTCATTTTTCAGATTAAACTTCAACCACTTCTTAACAGTGCCACATGCAAATTATATGCTTGGATCATCTGAGGAGCCATTACAGAGAACAGATAAATGAATAATCACTACTTTGTAATCTGTAGCCTAGCGTGTGATTGCTACTTTGAAAGTTATATGCAGTTCCAAATTAACCAAATTAATTCAGCTCTTGATATTATTATTACCTTCATCATAGCACTTCTGGCAATAGTTGTAGTTCCAGGCCGCTCATCCCCCATATAAAACTGAAGAGGATCTACTGTAGCTGCATTGCGTTTAAACAAAATAGAAGGTGCAACGAAAGAATATCCCTGTGAAATTAAGACATCAGAAAAGGGCATGGCTTGAAATTGTTGCACACAAACTATCATACTGCATACAAAACATCAGAAGTTTCAGCAGAATTTTTCAAAGAAATCAGAATTTTCATAACATAATACAGAAACTGTAACTGGCTCATTGATGGATAGATATTACTCTGTTCAATGCGAACAGGTATCTTCCTGGAATTAGTTATATGATTCTCCACAGTTACAGATAAAACGATGACAACAATACAAAAATTCTGGTAAATAATGCTAAAAATCTGGCTCAGCTTCAATTGTTTTGCAACAGTGATAACGGCTTATATTTCAAACTGGTTAGCTTCCCAGAACACCTTTAAGTTAAGGCATGAAATAGTTTTTATGTTGTGATGTAAGCAAACCATTTTAAATGGCAAAACAAAATAAACTTCGTATTAATGATGTGCCCAGTTTGGGTATCGTAACAAGAACAGCTGTGACTACCACTGCAGGATGAATCAGATTGTATTATGACATGCATAAATTGCTTGCTACAGTCACTACAAACCTAAACTTCCAAAATACGATGCTACATTCCTGTACACTAAGCCGCTTAAAAACAGCCAATAAAAAAAAACCAACAAAGCACAAGGAGGGGGAGGAGACAAAGCAGTCTGAACTGCTGTTCACCACTGCAGCTTTGGTACCAAGTTCAAGGCTGCACATTTGACATCCAGACTGTGCAGTCCAAGAAAAGATCATTCTTTAATAGCATAGAATCATAGAATCATTGAGGTTGGAAAAGACCTCTAAGATCATCGAGTCCAACCGTCAACCCAACACCACCATGCCCACTAAACCATGTCCCTAAGTGCCTCATCTACACGTCTTTTAAATACCTCCAGGGATGGGGACTCCACCACTTCCCTGGGCAGCCTGTTCCAATGTTTCACCACTCTTTCAGTAAAGAAATTTTTCCTTACATCCAATCTAAACCATAGAGGAGATGGTAAGGAAAGCTTTGTTACTGGTCTGTATATAGTAGTCTAACAATTAGAGCACTCCTAAAGGATGTGGAAGGCCTACATTCAACTCCGCAGTTAGCTCCCACTTCCCAAAGGAATACCTCAACTAGAGCATAATGTGGACATGGGCAAACTACATTGCTGTTGTCGAAGCTGGTAGCTCAGGCTGATGGAGTCAAGATGACAAGACTCATAAGGTATGAAGAATCAATAAAGGACAGACTGACTTTAGTCCAGCAGGTAGGACATTCAGCTGGGAATGGAGACACATGGAATTTTATGTTTGCAGTAGGACTATTTCTACCTTTCTCATTCTGCAATTGCTGAACAAACTAGTTATACACGTGGAACTGTTCAATAAATGATTTTTTTTAAATTAATGTGAATTCTTAAAATACCTGAAATATTCTTTCTGAAGTCTGAGGGGTTGCTGCAGGAGAATATGTCGGATCCATTTCTGTAAACTCTTCTGCAAAATTACTGACATCCAACTCATCTCTGATTACCGGTTTAAATGGAGCTGATACTTTTTTGGCAGCTAAATCATCCCAATTCATATTCTAAACCAAAACCAGGAAAATAAGTTTGAATCAAATGAAAATTTAACAGAAGCAGATATTGGAAAGACAGACTTGCCCAGAAACAAACAGTCCTAACTCCATTTCCTATTTTCCACAGGCAGATGAAAAGCATTCAAATTATGCCCTACTAATTTGCTTAGGTGAAGGCAAGAAGTATCATACTTATTTGCAAGTAGACAGAATCCAGTTAAAAAAAAATCAACACAAAAATTTAACAGTGGAGATAAGCCAAAAAATTAGCATGACAGCCCTTAAATTTCTTCCTCTATTTCAGAGGAAACAACATTTCTATTTTTGTAAGCCATAGTGCATGCATGCAGTATCTTCAACTTTTCATTGCTGATTTCTATGCTCAATTACTAATCCCAGCTTCTAGAGCCCTGAGAGCATAACGCCTCTGGATTCTTACTTAAATGCTTGGCTAGAAGTAGGAAGCATAGACATGGTAGTTATGAGAAAATGGCCCTATTACTGTAAAAGAGTGGAACTGAAGTCAAGATTAGAAAATAGCGTATGAGGAAAAAATGTATCTTCCAAAACAAACACTGAATAAAGGAAGTTTAACTCTACTTTGTCAGACTCTCTTATAAGAGGAAGGAAATACAGAAGGGATGAGAAGAAATTCAGACGTTAAAAAGCCAAGATATTGCCCATGCTGAATGTTATGATAATTACATTGAAAATATTTATTTGAAAGGTTTAATTTATACTGCCGACTTTAAATACTCCAAAATTACTTAAATGCTTGGCTAGAAGTAGGAAGCATAGACATGGTAGTTATGAGAAAATGGCCCTATTACTGTAAAAGAGTGGAACTGAAGTCAAGATTAGAAAATAGCGTATGAGGAAAAAATGTATCTTCCAAAACAAACACTGAATAAAGGAAGTTTAACTCTACTTTGTCAGACTCTCTTATAAGAGGAAGGAAATACAGAAGGGATGAGAAGAAATTCAGACGTTAAAAAGCCAAGATATTGCCCATGCTGAATGTTATGATAATTACATTGAAAATATTTATTTGAAAGGTTTAATTTATACTACCGACTTTAAATACTCCAAAATTTATGCTAATTAAAAATATATTTAACTTCAGAAGCACTGGAAATACATAGTTTTTTCAAAGAAAGCACAGAAACAATTTTAACCGCAATGGATGGAACAGTACAGATGTTGTATGCAAATCCAGTCTTCGTCATTGTTTGAAACCAAATGTTAATAGACTGAAATCTGAACAGAATTAAAATCTACTAAACAAGACTAAAGATTTAATTAGGCAAAGGAAAACACAGAAAAGGCATTTATCACTAATGGTGAATTTTATCAATATTCAAATTTTACTAATAATGTTAGTGGCAAACTTTCTTTTAAAAAAACAACACACAACGTATAATTTAAGTGTTTTCCATTAAACCCTCTGGTTTAAGTAGTGTGTCTTTTGGCTGCTTCAAGTAACTGTTAGAAACAGACAGAATATATTAAAATCTACCATGCCCTTCTTGTAGTATGCACAGTATCCATATACATAACCACATGGATATTCTTACTAACTTCCACACAATTGTTCATGCAATTAACACACCTCTAAGCTATTCTGTTAACAAAACAACAGAATTTCTTTAGACTTGGATTTCAAAGGCACTTCAAAGGTAAGTGGTATCTGGGGAGTTTTGTTGTTTGTTTTACCTGGAAAAAGGGATGCTGTTTGATTTCATCAGCATCAGTGGGACCACAACCTAGCCTCTTCTTGGGGTCTTTCATCAAAAGACGCTGAATTATATCCTTAGACAGTGCACTCATTTCTTGTGGATAAGGTGGCTCACTTTTTAATATTCTCCTATAAAACAAAAAAATAACAATTATTTGGTAATTACTTAACATGTGGCGTGTTATATCAAATAGTTACCACACTAATGGCAGCGTTTAACATTTCACTTAAACTTCTATTGTACCCAAAGGCAGGAGGATGACAAATGTGAAACCAACTTTTTTTTTTAATAAAGAAAGGTTTGAAGAAATGCAGACATGAAACATGACATCTGTAGGAGATAAGTTATGTAACTTAATCCACAAAAGAGAAACAATCCTCATTTCATACATACTGAGCTTACTATTTAAAAGAAATCTCATAGCTACAACAGATAGCTCCACAAAAACATCAACTTGATGCCTAACAGCAGTCAAAAAACCAAAAACAACTCCAATGTTAAAATCTATTAGAAAATAAAGAGGAAAAAACCCACACTTGGGCCATTTGAGGTTTGCCTGCACCTTGTATGTTGCGTGCAGTGCTCATGCCCTACTCTCAAAAAGAGGCACTATAACTGGAAAAGTTTTAGAGAAGAGTAACAAGATTAATCAGAAATACAGAATGTGTTTCATATGAAAAGCTACAAAAAAGGCTAGGACTATCCAGCTTAGGGAAAAGGGGACTTAAGGGGACTGGGCGTAGTGTTCCCCTCAAAATGACAAACGGTAAAGAGAAAGTGGATAAGGACCTCACTGTCTCTTTCAATACAAGAACTAGGAGCCATCAAATAAAGCTAGTTGAAGTTCAAAATCTTGGAAGCCTAAGTAGAATCACATTTCAATACCCGTCTTTTATATGTGTAGCTCCCACAGTTTTATATAAAGAGAAAGGCAAGTTTTCCTTCAGTTACTCCAACTGTAGATATTGAAGCTAAGGACTCTGAAGGAAAATTGCGAATGCATACACAGACAACACATACCAAAGACACGTCAACAGGTTTAAAGAGATACACACACAAAACCCTTTAGCATACAGAATCACAGAATGGTTGAGGTTGAAAGGGATCTCTGGAGGTCATTTGGTCCAAGCCCCCTGCTCAGACATAGTCACCTAGAGCCAGTTGCCCACGACCATGTCCAGAAGCCTTTTGAATATGTCCAAGGAGGGAGACTCTACCACCTCCGTGGGCAGCCTGTGCCAGTGCTCAGTCACCCCCACAGTAAAAAAGTGTTTCCTGATGTTCAGAGGGAACCTTCTGTGTTTCAGTTTGTACCTGTTACCTCTGGTCCTGTCACTGGGCATCACTGAAAAGTGCCTGGCTCCCTCTTCTTTGTACTCTCCCTTCACGTATTTGTACACACTGATGAGATCCACCCTGAGCTTTCCCTTCTCCAGGTGGAACAGTCCCAGCCTTTCCTCATATGCTTCAGTACCTTAATCTTCTTAGTGGCCCTTCCTTGGGTTCTCTCCAGTATGTCCATGTCTCTCTTGTGCTGGGGAGACCAGAACTGGACCCAGTACTCCAGGCGTGGCCTCACCATTGCTGAGTAGAAAGGAAGGATCACCTGCCTCAACCTGCTGATACTTTGTCTAATGCAGCCCAGGATACCATTTGCTGCCTTTGCCACAAGGGCACATTGCTGGCTCATGTTCAACTTGGTGTCTATATATCTACATGCATACTCTCACTGTGCTGACTTCCAGAAGCACGATACATAGCAGAAGGTCTTACAGTGCCTCCACTAAACACAGACTGAAAGATTTTGAAGCTATAAGAGGCTGTGAGGCTGAAATTATATGAAGTTGTGGCAGCACTAAAATCTCAATTGTTATATGTCTCTGATAAGCACTTAAGTTGATCACTGCAGGACATTTCTAAATTTTGTTTAAAGTTACTGCATGACATATCCTTAGAGTCAGCTATCCCATGGGAAATTTTTTATCTTGAAATACGTAACTTCTTGGATTACTCCAAAAATAGATGCAAACAGATTGTTTCCTAAATAATCTTGTCCCACCAATGTGGAAGGACAAAAACAAGTTCAATATGCACATATCCCAGGGGTTGTTTCTACTGACGTAGTATCCAATTTCAAGCAAACAAAAAGACAAAAGGAAGCTAATCTCTTGGTTTAAGTAGCACTGAAATGAGTTAGGAAAATACAGTCTGAGTTTTAAGATGGATTGTTTCTTTAAATGAGGTAAGGATGATCTGCCAATAAGGGTCTAAATCACAGCCACTCTGCTAGCAGAAGTAACAGCAACCATAAGCCTTGTCTTCAACTTCTGGACACACTTCACTTTACAGAAAAGGAGAAGAAAACACAGTATTTCCAAATGATTTCTTAATTAGGGATGTTAATACCAAATTTAAACATCACTAAAGAAGAGGATTCTTTCACTGTAGGACTGGTGGAGAAGTAAAGATTCAGCCTCTTCAGAAGTCATCCAGTTTCAGAAAGGGGAAGTGGGTAAGGAAGTAAGAAGACCTTCCTATTGTAAGACAGGAGACAGAACATCTTAATAGCAAAATTTCTTGATTTACAGGAGGGCCAACAAAATCTACAATGACTTCTTAGCTTGAAAATCACTTCAGTTAGAGGAGTCCAAGGAAATGTATTTATCAACCTTTCTGATGAGAGAATCAGAAAGGTATAACAAAGATCCTGGAAAGAGACAAGTTCTCTTTGGGCTCTCAGAAGCGGGGTGGGGGTGGCGGGGGGGAACCTAAGTCAGTATTTTAATTGATTTCTAAAGCAATGGGATTGTGAATCTGGGATGTCCTTAGAATCCAAAAGAGAAATTCTAGAGCATTTTCCCATCTGAAAAATGTCAGAGACTACAGATGGCCAAGTCAGATAAAAATCTGAAAAAAGATGCTGAACTGGGATGATTGGTAACATGGGTAACAGAGAATAAATGAGTGCAATTTCTCTGTGCAGCCTCAGAAGATCAGTCTCTGTAATAGTGATGCTGATAAGTGCTAGCAATAAGATTATTGCCCATGTCTCAGGCTTCTGATGCAAATACAAACATTCACATAAGAAAAAGAGAGTGAAACAAATATAAGCAGTGGAAAGGCTTTTATAGAACCCTGCACTGCAAAGTTACCAGAAAATTCTTAGCCAAAAGAAGTACTTCCACAGTAACAACACTAGTAAGTCTAATCCTTCTAATTGCAAATTTCCAGTGACATATTGCATGTCTTTGGTCAGCCTGCAAACTGCAATTGATTGTGCCATTGATGTGGTAACTGAGCAGAGAGTCCCAGCTGAAGCTGAGACAGTTTATAAACTAACTTTTCGTATTACCTGACATTCTGCTCTTTGGGTAGAAACCACTCCTTAAATTCTTGGGGGAAGGAATCCGCTATAAAGATTAGATCTGTCAAAACAATTAGCATACATATTTTGCCAATAATAGTTTGGTATAACACTGTATTTTACCTAATGGAAAACTTCTGTGGCAACAGCATCAGTAATTCCTGCCTTTTGCCAAGATTACTGTTTTAAATTATTTCTTTTTATAGGCAGAATTAACAATGAAGTGGTATTTAGCTATGTGAAAAGCAAGCTATGATTATATTGAGGGATATCTTCTATCTGTTGATGCTCCTAGAGCCCACTGCAGAGAAGGCAGCATTTTGCCATGCTGTACAAGCAGACTCCATGTAAGCTGCATTTATACATGCCAGCGGCACTCGTTCAGAAATACTTTTGAGGTTGACTGATACTATAAAATATTCATGATGCTCTGGACTGGTTCACAGAAGCACGCTACAGAAGTAGTGAAGAATGAAGGTAGTTTCTTTAGAAGTTCCAGGAACTACTTGCAATTATCATGGAATTGAAGTATGTGAAGCTGTACACGCATCAGTTAGGATGGAAAGCAAGCTGCCAGAAAAGAAAGACCATCTGGAATCAACATGTGAGAGAGCAGAAATTGGTGAAGACTAATCAAGTAGCTAGATCAAGTAAAGAGAAGGATAAGTCACTCAAGGCTATAACAGTAGCCCATAAAGTGTTCAGAGGAAGGAAGCTGCGTGTGTCAGAGTCCTTCCCATGATGTCTGTGCTTCTGAAAAGAAGCTACAGCCTTTAGCATCAACCTTCCTTTCCTTTTCTGAATCACCTCCATCCTCTTGTACATTTCATGTTTATCTGGTCCAATAACAGTGACAGAAGTAAGCAGGAAGAATTAAGTATCCCAAGTGGCAACTGTGGTCAAAGCTGCTGAAGGACTACTCTGCCGTATTTTCTGCTTCTCCTAGCCTAGTACAACGCCTCTGAGCTGGGATGAGCTGAGATTGCCCCTGCTGATGAGAGCACTCTGGCTGTACTGAAAACACTTTGAGAGAAACTATCCCTTGCATAAGTCAAGGAGGTTATCACTTTGAAATCCTGGATCGTTTCCATCTTACCCTTCTCTATGGCAGACTACGCAGAGCTAGGAGTTAACCCCACTGGTATTGTTTTTCAGGAACTTAAGCTCTGATGAGCTTCTCCCATAAATACTACAGACCAAGAGCATACATGATAACGTGAAGGACGTGCTAAGAATGATAAGGAGGAGAAGGAGATGCTTAATCTTCAGTGAGTGGATGATACAGTAGGGAAATGACACCTTGACCTTTAGATGCTCCTCCTCTTTATCAGCATCTTCAGAGCCACTCCTATTTAACAGGTGCAGGCTGCTGAGCCTGACAAATCAGCCAAGGAACTCACTGATTTTATTATGAAAAATTCATAGAGTTGCCACCACTGATCTATGCTAGCTCATAGTTTAAAAGTTACATAGACTGACCACAGGTTTCTTATCTGTTCTTTACCAAAGCAGTAGAGATGGGATACGTGTTTGCTAGCTGAATAAAACATCCTTCTACAGAAGGCATAGTATTTAAAACCAACCAGAAATGCAAAAAACGTGCCAAAGGCTTATACTACGATGTCAGTCTAAAGAGAATTTGAAGAGGATTCTGACCTCGTTCATTCCAGGGTGACAGTCTTAAGGACTTAAGCAGGAATGCCCTTGCAATGCTCAGTAAAGGCCTTATAAAGACAGTGTCATTGGGAGTTTTCCCAACATGGA